TTTTATTTTTTATTTTTTTAAAAAATTTGAAAATTAATAAAATATAATATAAAATTTAAATTTTAATATAAAAAATTTAAAAACATCCCGTGCAACGCACGGGCAAAAGAAAAAAACTAGTTTTTTATTATAAAATTAAAGATGAAAAAATTAAAAATTCAACTATGTATAGAATATGCGGTAACTAATTAAAACGGTTACATTTATATTATATTTTAATAATTTAACCGATTAGGCATCAGCATTTCTACCGAACCAAGGGGTGTCCAATCATTTTCCTTACGTTTAGTTGAAGTTGTAAGTCAAGGTCTTTCCTGTCCCTAAAATGGAGTGCAAATATTAAGGGTATGTTTGGTTTGACAGAATTGAAGTTGAGAAAAGCGCAAAAAAAGGGAGATATGAATTTTTTTATCAAATTAACTTAAGAAATTAACAAACGTTGTAATTCAATTAGATATTCTCCCCTCCTATCCCATCCCTTTCCCTTCCCCTTCCAATTCTCTCAATCCAAATATCCTCTAAATGTTAAGGTTAAGATTACTACTTCTATTCTATAATACTAATAATTGCTTTATATAAAAAAAATTATTTTAAATTAATTATGATCTTTTATTTTTTATTTTTAAGGTTTTTCTTCTTATTTTAACTTTATTATCCACTTTATCACTGATATTTCATTCTATAGGACAATATATGTAAAAACATAAATTTTCTACAAATTTTTAATTTTGGAAAAAAATTTTAAAAAATAACTATTTCTATTATGAAAGAGTTTTTTTAACTTGTATTTGAAGAGCACAAGTAAAGAGCCACTAAATATGTATCTTTTCTTAAATTTAATAATATTTTAATGAGTATTCATATCTGCTTCAAAATAATTATCGCTTTTGATTAAAAATTTATTTTAGATTAATTATTGTTTTTTCACTTTTTAAGGTAGAAACATATTTTTTATTTTATTTTAATCCTATTGTTTCCTTAACTTTAATTATTTATTCTGTTGGTAATATAAGCAAAAATATAAGTGGTTGTCAAATTCTTAATTTAAAAAAAAATATCTTAAAATAGGAGGAATAAATAACAACTAACAACTACTCCCTTCGTTTTTTTCTTTTTTTTATTCACTTGTTCCACTTTGGACTTGGACACTTAGAAATAATTTAATTCGGGGAAAACAAAAAATACGACAATTATTGTTTGAAATACCATATTCTCCTTAATAAAACCTTTTTATCTTTATCAATATGTTAGAATAATAGGGCAAATTCGAAAAAAGAGCATTTAATGTCTTTACAAATAAAAAGTAAGACAACTAATGAAAAACATCCTAATTTAGGGAATAATAACCAACTAAAAATGAAAGGTGTAAAATTCATTGGGGGTGTTTGGATTACTATTTCAAAAATAATTATCAATTGTTGGCTTTAATAGAAGGGATTAAATACTCTAAATTACAAACAGTAATGATTATTAGCTAGGAGATATCGTCTATCAGCTATTAGCTTCATCCGAATCACTAATTCAAACACCCCGTTAATGTAACAACTAATGAGGAGAGATCCATTTGTATGCTAGTATTACATATTATATTTACACAAAATTTTAACTATTTATCTTTTTATTTTTAATAGTTGAGATTTATCACCACTTTTTAAATAAAAAATAATTACCTTTAATAAATATAAATAAATCTCAATCATTGAAGTTAGAAAGATAAATAGTCGAGATTTGTGTAAATGTGATGTGTAAAACTTGTGTGTAAGTAGATCCTTACTCCAACTAAAATTGTATTGCTAATGATGACTAAATAGACATATTAGTACTAGAAATGCGAATAAATTTCCCAATATATGAAAAACTATTATTAGTAAAAACTAAAAATTAAAGAGAAGGGATCCATTTAGACATAAGTTTTACATATTATACTTATATAAATCTCAACAATTTATTTCTTCAATTTTAATGATTAAGATTTATTATGACTTTTTAGGTAAAAATAATAATTATTTTTAATAAATGTAAATAAATCTTAACCGTTAAAAATAGAGAGATGAATGATTGAGATTTTGTATACGTATAGTGTGTAAGTAAATCCCTCCTCAAAATTTAATCCAATCTTCATCCACAAAGTGAGTAATTATGAAGTAATGGTCAAATAAAATAGCTATTAACAAGAAATAATTACAAATCATAACATTGGGCTTAATTGAAAAATGAGGGTGCAACGTTAAATGTGTACTTATTGTACTTTTTTGACATTAATTAATATTAAAAAATAAAAATTGACATTTATTTAAACAACTACCTAATTAAGACATTAGTGGTAAATTAATAATAACCTTTGTATTTTTCAATAGAAATTCATATAAAAATTTAATAATTATACCTTCGGTTTTTTTTTATCTTGTGCGCTTAGAACACACGTTAAGAAATTTGGAAAAATAAAAAGTGATTGAATTTATTAATTATTAAATTAAATTTATTCACATTGCAATAATACTAAAATTAATATCAATTTTTATGAATTTTCATGTAATTTTATAACAAAAAGGTACCTTAGAGCTCAAGCTAAAAAAACTTGTATACCTTTAACATATGCCTTTATGACATAGGATAGAAAAATCCATAAAAAAAAACTCATTAAAATTATTTTTGAATTCGCCACCGGGATCAAATTGCAAGCAGGATTTAAGTATTACAAGTGATAAATTGTAAGGGCTTTTAATTCATAAATTAATGGGTCAATGAAGGAGATAACGAGCCAAGGAAATGGATATCGTGGCTAGCGCTGGGCAAACGGTTAGTTAACCAAATGGATAACAGAAAACTATTAAAAAATTAATAAAATTGTTAGATATAAATGGTTATTGGTTTTTTTTCAACTTTAGTTGGATAACTGAAAAAATTTAGATGATTAATGGTTGGAATTGAAAATTCAAAACTGAATATATAACTGAAAAATAAATTTTATATTAATAAATAAATAAGAGCTATTTAAATATTATAAATAAATGTAAAAGCCATCTTATTTAATTTTAGCTTCAATTTTTACCTTATAAATTTTATTATAATTTAGTATTTAAATTTAAAATATATTAAAAAGTAAAAAAATAAAACTCAAAATTTATATTTTTCTCTCATTTATTCATCTTTTTTGCATTTTGTTATATTTATATTCTTTAAAAATTTTGAATCTTGGTTTAAGTATATTCATTATTAAACTTGAAATAGACATTCAATGTTGATTTAGTTATAACCAATAACCAAAATATTAAAATCAATTATTTTGATTATCAAACTGAAAATCCATAAAGAATTTGGTTCAGTTGGGTTACTAAAAATGAAAAAAAAAAAAAAATTTATAGTTCAAAATTTGATTTTCGTTAGACCAAAATCAAACCATGCCCAGGCCTAATGGCGGCGGTCAGAAGGACCATGGATACTCACTTTTTAATGTCTTGAAGTAATTATTTATGATGAATTAATAAAAAGTTTTATATTTTCTTTTTATTCATTTTCTACATGAATTGAAGAAAAACAAATAAAAAGGAAATATTTGTTGTGAAACTGCCGAGAAGAAATAGAAGCCCACCTAAGTTGAAATATTTGTTGTGAAACTGCCGAGAAGAAATAGAAGCCCACCTAAGTTGAATAAATGTGTGGGGCCAATTTATGACAAATCATGAAGTCACGGAGTAGTTGTTTACTTGTATATAAAGGCTTAAGGCACATTGTAGTAATGGCACAGAGACAGCGCAGTTAGCACTCTCTGCTTGATCTGAGTACATGCACTGGCTTCTTATTTTGATGGATTCGAAATGGTTGTATGCGGTACTTACGCTCTTCTTATTAGAAGGGATGTGGTGCCAAGGGTGTTTGGAGCAAGAGAGAATTGCTCTTCTGCAACTCAAGTCTTTCTTCAATGATCCTTGGGATCTAAGAAATTGGGGGAGAGGAAAGGAAAATTTAGATTGTTGTCGATGGGAAAGGGTCAAGTGCAACCGCTCCAGTGGACGAGTTATCAGACTCCATCTTAATTACACACTGAATAGTTGGAGTTACTCCAAGTTTTATTTGAATACCTCTTTGTTTCTTCCATTTGAGGAATTGAAGAGTCTCAGTTTGGCTGAGAATGGAATAGCTGGTTGCATTGAAAACGAAGGTTTTTATCTATCTTCATACCTTTCAACTTAATTCAATTATTATTAAAGCATAATTCATCATGCATATACGTAAATTCATTCATTATTATTCTCCTATATATATTATTTATTTGGTTTTTTTTCTTTTTATTTGAAGCAAATTAAACAGTTTATCTTATTTGTTTGTAGATTTCCATAGGCTTTCAAAGTTGAGTAATTTGGAATTCCTTGACTTGAGTGGCAATGACTTCAATAGCAGCATTTTGTTACCTTTGAGTGAGCTTTCATCTTTGAAGTCTTTAGATCTTGCAGCAAATGACTTTCAAGTGTCAAAGCATTCTAATGGTATAGTTTGATTAATTGCCACTCATCTTTGGTTTATGGGAACCCATTTCGTTATTGTTTCCTCTTGCAATTTGAAACTTTTTTAATTTGAAAATGGAATCTATAATTAACTTGCATAAATTGCAACAAATTGTATTGCAGGTTTTAAGAGGTTTTTTAAGTTGAGAAGTTTGGAAATCCTTGATCTAAGTGACAATTACTTAAATAATAGTATCTTAACATCTTTGAGTGATCTTCTATCTCTCAAATCTCTATATCTAGTCAACTGCAACTTAATGATGGCATCAAATCATACAAAGGGTAAAATTTTAACTTATTGTTGTTACAAGTTTACCAAAGTTGATGCACTATTGATTATTTTAATTAAAGACATTATGCTTTGATTTGTTAATTTATAACAGCTGATTTTGAAACCCTGTCAAGACTCAGCCACTTGGAATTTCTCGACTTAAGTGATAATATGGATTTGAACGACAACATACTATCATATCTGAGTAGTCTTTCATCTTTGAAAACTCTTATCCTACGGTATTGTGGACTAAATGGGACTTTAAGTACTAGAGGTAATTCAGTTTGCTTTCTCCCTATTTTCATTTCTATTATAATTTTTCCTTAAGAAGATGTGTTATATTGTAATATTTTATTGAGATTAAACATACTTTTCCTTATTTTGTTTTGATGGTGAGCTTGAACAAAACTCAACCAATTCATCTTTGGTGTATGGGAAACCATTTCCTTTTTGTTACTCTTGTAATTTATATATTTTTTAATTCTCAAAACTAAACTTGTAATTAACTTGTATTACAGGTCCCATGAGGTTTTTTAATTTGAGGAATTTGAAAATCCTTGATCTAAGTAACAATTACTTGAATATTAATATCTTAACATCTTTGAGTGAACTTCCATCTCTCAAGTCTCTTAGTCTGGTACACTGCAACTTAATGATAACATCAAGCCATAAAGACGGTAAAATTTTAACAAATTTTGTTATATGTTTACTAGAGATGATATAATATTGATTATTTTAAATAAAGGCTTTATGCTTTGATTTGTTAATTTGTAGGAGTTGATTTTGAAAAGCTTTCAAGACTTCGCCATTTGGAATTTCTTGACTTAAGTGAAAATATGGACTTGAAGAACAATATTCTATCATATTTAATTGAGTTTTCATCTTTAAAAACTCTAACCCTGTCAAACTGTGGATTAAATGGAACTTTGAATACAAGAGGTAATTAAGCTTGCTTTCTTCCTATTTTCATTTTTATTATATTTTTTCCTTAAAAAGTGGTGTTATCTTGTAATATTTTATTCATATTAAACATATTTTTGCTTCTTTTTTTTTAATGGTGTGCTTAAATAGAATTGAGTAATCTGAGAAACCTAAAGGTATTAGACATCAGCGTTAATAACATTGAAAGACTCAAATCTTTCCCAGGTACATATATTTTTTGTTTCCTAAGTTCATATTTAATACTAATGAAATTAGTAGTAACAAGATTACATATACTTTTGGCAGGTGAACGAAATTTGAGATTTGTCTATCTAGAGTTTCTTGATTTAAGCTATAATTTCTTCAACAATAGTGTGCTATCTTTCATTAATAAATTTTCAAATCTAAAATCCCTGAATATAAGAGATAATGATCTAACAGGATCAGTAGATGCCACAGGTACGTTGAGGCATCCATTAGTCTTCTTTTTCTTGCTAAAACATTGAAAGCAAATTACTTGTTATTTATGAGTGATCCAATAACTTTCTTTGTGATTCTCCTAGACTTTGATGCTTTAAGCAACTTAAAAGAGTTAGACATGAGCTACAACAACCTCAACCAATTTTTTGCCACTAAAGGTATTGATGAAATGGAATTGTGACCATATGTTGTTCAGTTTGCTTTCCATGGTATATAGCCATATTCTTCAACTAATTAATTAAATGTTTTGTTTGATTGAAATTAATCTTCTTTTTCTTTTTATCATCCACAGCAAATGCGAGCTTCAGTAAGTTAAAAACTCTTTATCTCGATGGAATATTTCCCAAGGAAAGCAGTGTGCCAGCACAGTTATCATTAAATGCATTCCCATCACTTAAGAAACTCCATCTGATAGAAAACTATCATCTAAACCAAACTATGTTTATTCAAAGTAAGTATTACATAGATGGCATTCTACAATATTATTGGGTGCATTTTTTGAATCAATTTCTATATACTCATAATTTTTTTTAGCAACATATATTCATAACTAATATGATAATCATTTTGCAGCTTTGCAAGTTTTGAGCAATCTAAAGGAACTTTTCTTGGATCAGTCCCCTCTTAGCATAAACTTTCTCCAAAATATTAGTGTATTGACTTCTCTCAAGTCAATGTCTCTAAGAAATTGTGGGTTAACAGGAACCTTACCAATTCAAGGTTGGTGTGATTTGAAGAACCTTGAAGAGATGGATCTTTCTGGAAATGAATTGGGAGGGATGCTGCCTTCTTTCTTGGCTAACTTGACATCTCTTCGACTTTTGGATATCTCCCAAAATCTATTCACTGGAAATGTTGCATCCTCTCCCCTAGCTGATCTTATTTTGCTTCGATATCTCTCAATTTCAAATAATAAATTTCAAGTTCCAGATTCATTCAAGTCATTTGCAAACCATTCCAACCTTAAAGTCTTCTTGAGTGATTTCAATCAATTGGTTCTAGAACATGATCGTGTTCAAACAAGGGTTCCCAAGTTCCAACCAAGAGTCTTTAGTTTGTCAAACTGTAGGGCAAATGAGGAACTCACCAAACCCCCTAGCCTTCTCTATTACCTATATGACTTGAGATATGTCGATCTTTCATTTTACAAATTTATGGAAGCCTTACCTTATTGGTTGTTTGAAAATAATACGAGATTACAAGTTGTTGTCATGAAGAACAATTCTTTCATGGGTTCTTTCCACTTGCCATCACACCCTAATCTTGATGTTTGGGAAATAGATATTTCAAATAACCAAATACAAGGTGAAATCCCATTAAATATTAGTTTGATTTTTCCATCTTTAAGATTGTTATTCTTGTCTGGAAATGGCTTGGGAGGAAATTTTTCCAAGTGGTTGGTTGGTATGAACTCTTTAGAAGTTTTAGACTTGTCTAACAACCAATTCTCTGGAACATTACCAAAAGATTTTGTTACAAGAAGCTTCTTATCTTATCTTAGACTTTCAAATAACAACCTGACTGGGAAAATACCTCTTAGTGTATTTAAGTCTCAATCATTGGATGCATTGTTTCTAGACAGAAACAATTTTGAAGGAGAGATATCCAATTTCCATTTTTCTAGGTCCTCATATCTAAACGTATTGGACATTAGCAACAACAATTTGTTAGGAGAGCTTCCAAGATGGATAAAGAATCTCACTTATTTGAAAGAATTGGATTTGTCCAACAATCACTTTAAGGGATCAATTCCAGAGGAATTTTGCTATAATGCTAACCTTTGGCTTCTAGACTTGTCTCACAACAATTTGTCTGGGTCTCCACCACATTGCTCTAGTCCACCTTCACCATACTTATCACATATGTATTTGAGTAGAAATAGACTAAGTGGTCAATTACCACATTCATTCTTCAACATCTCTTCTTTGGAGATACTAGATCTTGGAGAAAACAACCTTTCTGGAAGCATTCCAAAATGGATCGGCACCCTTTCTGACTTGAGTATCATGCGTCTAAAGGGTAATCTCTTTTTTGGTGAAATACCCAATGAAATATGTGAGTTGGACCAACTACGAATCATGGATTTGTCTCATAATCAACTCTCGGGTCATATACCTTCTTGTTTGGGACATTTAATTGGTGCTCCACATTCATTTTTCCGTTGGAGAACTATTTGGGAAATTTCAACATTCAACATTGACATATCCACAGAAATGGAAAGCACATTCATGCAGGAGGTATATACACGATTGGATAAGTCTATACAAGATCGGGTAGAACTTGTTACCAAGTGGTGGTCTTACACTTATGAAGGCAATGTTCTTGGTTACATGTCTGGAATTGATCTCTCTTGCAATCATTTAATAGGCTTAATCCCACTCGAAATGGGAAACTTAAGTGACATTCATTCACTTAACTTGTCCCACAACAACTTAACCGGACCCATACCTTCTACCTTCTCAAATTTGAAGCAACTTGAGAGCTTGGACCTTTCTTTCAATGATTTGAATGGTGAGATTCCATCTCAACTTACTGAGCTGAACTCTTTGGCTATTTTTAGTGTTGCACACAATAGTCTTTCAGGTCCTATTCCATCTGGAAAAGGACAGTTTGGAACCTTTGACAAAAGTAGTTATGAGGAAAACCCTCTTCTATGTGGACCTCCATTGGAGACAAGTTGTGAGGAAACTGATTCACAACAAAAGGTACCAAAGTCCTTAAATGAAGAACAAGAAGGCAGTTTGATAGATATAGATGTTTTCTACATAAGCTTTTTGGTTACTTATGTGGTTGTTTTGCTATCAATTGGAGCAATCCTCTATATAAATCCATATTGGCGACGAATATGGTTTTATTTGATAGAGAGGTGTGTCACCAATTGCTACTACTTAATTTTGGATAATATTCTAAGATTCTAGTATTGTAATAATGTAACTAATTTATGTCTGTTAAGATGTATCCTTATCCATGCCAAGTTTTTATAATGCAATTTAGTTTTCATGAATTGGTACTACTTAATTTATAATGCAATTTAGCTCCTTTTAACACAATTGGACAGTTCATTACGTTGGCTACACAAATTGTTATCTACCATTATTTCATTAGGAGCTGGGTTAGGATTCCTTTTAATTTGTGTAGATATATGATATGGGTTTGAGTATTCATTGCACTCATTTAAATAAAATAATGGTAGATAAGAAAAAAAAAAACTAATTTATTAGGTGGTATTACGTAGCGTTGAAGATGATGCAGTGCTGCTAACTCTACTGAAACTGGTAGCCATAAAAATAAGTTTGATTTTTATAATTCAACAAGGAGAATATGAAGAAAAATGAAGATTAACCAAAAATAAGTTACAGAATACGAAAAAATAACATGACTCATAAAACAAAATATAGAATCTCAATCAAATAGTCTTCAACATCTATAAGCAAATTCAATTCTCACAAATAAGCTCTTTTTGATTCTCATAGTTTGTCACATGCATAAATCTTAAATTGCAACCTAAACTAAATCAGACAAAACTGGTTTTACAAATACATTGCATGCAGAAGATTTGCCCTATAACTTTAGCCCCTTGAATCACTCATAAGTAAAAGAATTAATAGACCGATAGAATAGTAACACCTGTTAAAACCATCTTTACTTCATCTCCCCTTTCTTCATAAAATGGGTAACCAAAAATCTCAGAACTACTTCTCAAAAGCCTCTTGAAAACAAGCTGATTTTTCAAACAGAATCAAGCCTCTGTTATTTGGAGAATAAGCAACTCTCACAGGCAGAAGGAAAATCAAATCCAAGTCAAGCATAACCACGCCGAAAGAGAAAGAAATCTACAACTAATGTCTGAAGAATATCAAGGCTTTCTTATTCAAAATCATGACCAAACCGAAGCATTGAAGAAACTAAACCGTAGTTAACTCATGACAGGGCATAACTGAACAAGCAACAAGCTCACTTGGCAAAAATGTAAAATTATATGCATTGAGAAAAAGGAAAAAAAAAAAAGAAACTATTACCAGTTGCTAATATAGTAACCCATAGAGCTTACATAACGTGTGAGTCTTCCATATAACTAGTATTGCTTAGTTGGTGGTTTTTATACTTTGGTATATTTATTATTGCTGCTATAACGATTGGCCCAAAAATCATTAGTATTAGGTGGTTTCTTGTTTGTCATCGAATGGTCCGTTTACGAGTGTTTATCATAGATGCTGTTAGTATAGCTCTTGTTGTCCAATTAAGCTATTATTTAGAGATTATAATTAATTATAATCCTTATTTCTCTATCTATCAATAAAGTCCTATGATTTATTATTAAAAAAAATTAGGAATGTTAATTACTTATTGCTATTCTAAATTGGTAGTTAATAATTGTAACCATATGCGATAACTTGATTTTTATCTAGTTAATTGAAGTGTTTTCCTTCAAATTTTCAACTTTTAAATGAAATTTTTAAAATTCTAAGCTTTATTAAGAAATGGGAAATCAAATCGGAAAAATTGTCAAAGAAAAGTCAAGATTAATTGCAATTATTTCACTCCATACTTAGTTGAAAATATTTAAAATTGCTTGTTTTATTGAGTAGGGACAAGATTGTAGAAATATGGAAAAGAGGCAATTAGATGACACAGAGTAGAAGAAGATGAGCAAGTTGGGCTTCAATTGCGAACCCAAACTCACCCTAAACCCATTTAAAGTTCAACTCGAAACCCATGAAACCCATTGCGACAAGCCCAAACCTAGTCCAATTCTCGTTAAATCTTCCCTTCAAACTCACCAATATCCCTTTTTAGTACCCGCATTAATTAATTAAAGAAAACCAAGACTGAACGATAATAGAGGGAAAAGATGCAGACCTTTCCCTTTTCTCCTCACCGTTCTGTTCTGCCCCATGAGATATTTTACTTTACAACAGGGATACCAGCTGATGTGGTATCCCCATCCAATAACAAGGCAATAGATCATTAAATTAATACATTTAATCATTTGACAAATACAACTCGCTAAATTTTACTTAACGGAAAAAGTTTCTATTAGAAGCTCAAAGTTTCTCATTCTTCCCCATCTACAGTCTACTCTTTCATCTCCTCAACTCCTCAATTTTCTGTCTTTCCCAAATTACCCCTCTCCTCTTCATAATTTCTCATCCATGATATCAAGTAGAAACAAGAAATCATTTTTAATTTTGCCATTCATCAATTGTGCTTTTTTAAATCAACTCTCAAATTAGTAAAACTCAAATCCGAAGAGATCTTTTGCCGTTTGCCCTTCTTCTTCCTTGGTGTTTCTCTTTCTTCATTCTTCTTGATAATTCGAGGCCAAGAAAATAAATTTCCTCACTAACAGAAACTTTATTGATGGTCAAGAAAAAAAAAAAACACAAAAACTTCATTGGAGTTTTAGATTAGGTGAGGAGAAGGATATCTGAGATTTTAACATGGTTGGAATGGAAGAAGGCATTTGATGAAACCAAAAAACCCTAGAAAAAGGGTAAAAGATGCTGGGATTTCCACCTTGAATCCATTGAAAAAAAATAAAAAAAGACTTAGAAGACGTTGGAATTTCGAAGGAGTTAGCATTGAGCATTACCCAAAAAATAAAGTTAGCATAAAAATGATTTCCACTTCTTGTTGACCCCAAACCATCAGTACCAATTTAATTACCCAAGTTTTAAGCATCTTCTTCTTGCCTAGAATGAAGATTTAGAAAGAAATTGATGGAGTGGGCAGATGGATTTACAAAGCATTTGACGCATTAGGCTTGGAAAAAAGAGATAAAGGTGGCCTGCAAGTATCTCAGTGGAGGCGGAACACAATGGAGAAGGATGAAGACAAGGAAGAGGAAGGCACCCTATGTTGAGTGTTTTGTGGCCCACAACATTTTTACGTGTTAACTCATAATTGGTTTGGGACACATCCTACATGGTGTCACATGTCATTGTCTCTTTCTAGTTTCTTCCCTGTTCATTGGTCCTTTTCTGGGCAAGCTTTCCATTCTCAACATGCGCCCCATGCCACAAGGAAGTATTGGAAATTTTATCCGGGGGTTTTTGCTGATTGTATTTAGTTTTTTAAAAATTATGTTAAATGAAAATTTGGTAAAAGTTAAGAAAGCTATGTAATTCAAGTGAATTTAGGTTTTATCTCAATATTATATGGTGTGATATGAATATGTATAAAACTTAAAATTAAATATGGGCTACTTGATGGAAGTGCGATTATTATAATGTGATAGATCACCTTTCTCATTTAAAAAACCTATCTTTATAAATAGTAAAAGAGTAGCATAACCCATTAATTATCATTTACACAAGTTGAAGGCTAAAACCAACATTTAGCCCCTCACCTTACAAAACTGATAGGTTTTAGCCCCTAATCTTATAATATGACACATTTAGCCTTTTACCTTACAAAGTTAGTAGGTTTTAACCCCTTCTCTTACAAAGTAGGTAAGTTTTAGCCACTCACCTTATACTATAACACTTTTAGTCTCTTATCTGTACAAACTGAAGAAAATAGCCCTTACTTAACATCATGTTATAGTGTTCTGTTAGTTTTATTAGTTGACTATAAATTCTGCTAACTAACTGCTAATTCTGTTAACTAACTATTAACATCTGTTAACATTCCATTAATGGAACTAACAAATAAAATTAAATTTAAATTTAATGTTTTCTATAATGGAATGCTAACGAATGTTAACAATCAGTTAACAAAACTAATAGAACGTTATAACCTAATGTTAGGTGAAGGTTATTTTCTTTAATTCATATATGTGAGGGGCTAAAAATATCATAATATAAGGTGAAAGGCTAAAAATGTCATAATATAAGGTGAGGGGTTAAAACCTACTAACTTTATAAGGTGAGAGGCTAAAACCTACCAACTTTGTAAGGTAAAGGGCTAAAAGTGTCATAGTATAAGTTGAGGGGCTAAAACCACCAATTTTGTAAGGTAAGGGGCTAAATGTTGGTTTTTGCTCAAGTTGAATAGGAGAGAAATACCTAAATCTCAATACTAGCTATATTTGTTTCTTAAATTTTATCATGAGATCCCAAATTATGATGATCATTGAATATCCCTAAATATTCTTAAATAATATATTGATTATAGAAATTCAGACATGTAATTTTTTTTTTTTTTTAGATTTTAATATTTTAAATTCTACGTATATCGTTCTTTAAAATTTTAACATGTGGTATTAAGATAGTTCATACATAAATTTATAATCGATTTTTTTGTATAATATTTAGTTGTGTGTTTGGTGAATTAAAAAGCATGTGCTTTGATTTCATAATTTGGTGGTGTTTGATTAATTAAGATAGAAACTTTCTAGAATTCGGTGGATTATGAATAATGGCTTAAAATCATAATTTTTACCCATAAACCTGATCGAAACTGCCATGCTATCGATTCATGTGTTTTCCATCTTTAAAGAATGGTTAAAAGTTCTAGAAAATTTTTCTTCATGATCACTTGACTTTTTCTTTTTTTATGAAATTAATCACTCATATGGTGTATTTTAATTGTTTCCAGATTGTATTAGTGCTTATTAGATTATAATCATAATTCAGTTTTTAATATGGTGATTAGTCATGTTTAAATGGATTAAATTTAAAATTGACCTCTATTTTGAGAGTTAAAAACACTACTTGTGTTGTCGAATATTATTATTATAAATTCATGGAGTATGACTTCTTCTTTTTTTCGATAAATAGAAGTATTATTGCCCAGCAATCAGAATCATTACATAGAGCTCTAGGTAAAGAATCAAACCAAACACCCTCCCAAAGTGGCAATGGTGATGGAAGATGAGCTAGTTTGTGAGCCAACTCATTACAGCTTCTCTTGACATGTTTAATACAGAGAAAATCAAAATTGGGCTTTCTAGCACAAAGATCCTCAACAATTGCTCCAAATGGCAGATAATAATCTTCAGAGGAGTTCGCTATAGCCACCACCTGGGCACAATCAAATTCAATTTCTATTTTTGTGCAACCAAATTCCTTCCCTATCTGTAATGCATACTCTATTGCCATAATCTCCACTTGAAGAGACGTCCCCTGAAAAGTGCACGTGCGTACAACAGCCCCTATAGCTTTACTGTCCCTATTTCGTAAGATTACTCCCAACTTGGTTGTGTTCTGGTTTGGTGGTATAGCAGCATTTGTATTGAGCTTGATTATGGCACCCACCTCAGGGGGATGGAGTATGACTTAATTCTACTTAAAATTAGAAAAATTTCCTCCAATTCTAAAGTTTTTTTTTTATTCTTAAACAACCAATTTATGATTATTGCTAAGAATTCTGCCAGTTTAGGTGACTATTGTTTTAAGTGTTCATGTAATTGAGAGCACTTATTAAGTCAATTTAATTTGTGTGAGTCAAAATTGATGTTTAAAGCCTTGGTTTGATTAATATGTAAAAGGAAAATAAATTTGTCTTAAATGGATTTTATTTAAGGTCAAATTTTAATTTTATTGAATCCATTGATTCCGGTTGTGATGGTATATGTGGAGATCAATTGAAAAGATTTGTGGAGATTGAGGAATGGTTTAATGGTTTGGTGGTATAAACTGGGCAGTTGCCAATTCAACCAAAATCTAGTTTTATGTTGTGAAACATATTTGATTATTATTGGAGAAGATTGAAGGGAAATTTTTTTATCTAGTCCCTTAATGATTTAGTTTATGTAATTTTGTCTCTAAAGTTTTAAAAGTTTACAAAATATGTTAAGTCAAAGATACTACTAAT